AAGCTGTAATACATGTACACCATGGAATATTACTCAGCTATTAAAAATAATGCATTTGAATCAGTTATAATGAGGTGGACAAAACTGGAGCCTATAATACAGAGTGAAGTAAGTTAGAAAGAAACACACCAATACAGTATATTAACACACATATATGGAATTTAGAAAGATGGTAATAATGACCTCATATGCGAGACCACAAAAGAGGCACAGATGTAAAAAGCAGACTTTTGGACTCTGTGGGGGAAGGCAAGGGTTGGTGATTTGAGAAAATAGCATTGAAACATGTATATTTACCATTTGTGAAATAGACGATCAGTCCAAGTTCGATGCATGAAACAGGGCACTCAAAGTCAGCGCACTGGGACATCCTAGGGGGATGGGGGTGGGGAGGGAGATGGGAGAGGAGTTCCGGCCTGGGGACACATGTGTACCAGTGGCTGATTCATGTCAGTGTATGGCAAAAATCACTGAGATATTATAAGTTAATTAGCCTCAAATTAAATTATATTGATTAATTTTGAAAATTAATTAAAAATAAAAGAATCCACCTACAATATAAGAGCCACAGGAGACATGGGTTCAGTCCCAGGGTTGGGAAGATTCCCTGGGGAAGGGCATGGCAACCTACTCTAGTATTCTTGCCTGGAGAATCCCCATGGACAGAGGAGCCTGACGGGTTACAGTCCATAGCGTCACAAAGAGTGAGACACGGCTAAAGCAACTTAGCACACATGCACAGGATGGAAGGAAAGGATGGGGGCAGAACACTGTTTTCAAGTGAAAGGCTATGCAGGATTTCTATATAAAAATTAAAATCTACCCCTCAGGCCAGTGTGAGGAGAGAAGACCAGAGTCCCCTGCTGTTCACCTCATCATGCTCTGCCCCTATCTACAGATACTGAGTAGTATGGATAAGGCATACTCTCTCTACATTTCGGCTCACATTTCTACCTCTTCCCTCAATCTGCCTTTCTACTAAAAAGGAAAATAAGAGTTGATACACTGAAAGGAAAACCGAAATATTAAGATAGCAACCTGAAACTTCATCATACTTTTTAATTGTTTAAGATGAAAAGAAAATAATCTGATTTTATTTTATTAATGATTGTCTGATATCTTTTGGTTAGGGAAAATGTTCAAAAGTTAATTGCCTAGATAGTGGTCTATGTGTGCACTTTTAGCTGTTGGAAATCATATTGAAATATCACATTATGGAAATTATGTGAAATTAAGCATATCTTAAAAGGAGAATTTGAAATGAAGTCGAATGTTTTATATTTTTTAATTAAAAAAAGAAATTTACTTTAAAAAAAAGATAAGTTAGTATTTTTGGCAAAAGACTCAAGATAATGGATCACATAATTTCTTCATCTAATTAGCAGATTTTTTATCAACCTTGAAAGTATATTTTAAAATGGTATAAATAAATCCCTCTTGTAAATTTTGGAGAAAATCTTATTCATAAAGGTTATAATTATATTTGTTTTAGTGAACTTACAGAGAATTTTTAGGTCTATTTATTATTTTGGGCAATTCATTAGTAGAAAAGAAAGCAGATTGAGGATGCGATGCATTTCAAAATATGAAATGAGAACTGCATAAATTAATTATATTGCTTAAGGACAGCATTTATTTCCTCTAGCAGTTTACATTCTTATTTGTAGTGCTATTGACTAACACTGCACACTTTATTGGCATCTGCTGCATATCACAAAACCCATTATTATGCACTATTTCAGAGCTATAGAGCTTCTTTTTGAAGAATTAAAGTACCTTATCAACTATATTAGCCTAAAGAGATTATTTTGCTATGGCAAATTTTGTCATCAGCTTTTTTTTTCCTTAAATCAAAGCAAAACATACATGTATATGCTAAAAATCTCACTAGTATGCCATATTAAGATAATAGACTTCATTTAAAGTGAAATATGCTTCTGCACTTATATTATGGTCCTTTATTGTCCGAAATGAACAACATTCTCTTAGAACATATTTTAGAGGGAAATTTCTGTTTCATCAGTAGACTAGGTAGCTAATATGACTCATAGCAAAAATAAATTTTAAACATTAAGACATAAATAATGTCACAATTATACAGAAATGAATATTCATTTTTAATTATCTATACCCATTATATAGTTTATTAAAATAATAAGTAGCAAAAACATATCATTTGTAGTATCATTATTATTGCCTACAGCCATTTCAATTTTAAAATAAAGCATAATAAAGTACTTCACTGACTTGAAATTTTCCATTGCTTCATCCTGTAGAGTTATTATGAACAAAATATTTAGTAGTCAAAATTATTGTAGTGTCAATGTGATGAAAGAAGAGAAATGTTTAGTCCCTGGTAGAAACAAGCTTTAAAAATAAAGCTCTCAAATATGTCAGTTCATAGATTTTTACTAACACTTACACTTTTTTTTTTAAGTACGGTTGATTTACAGTATTATATCAGTTTCAGGTATATACTTGCACTCTACTAATAAAATCAATTCCTGCAAAGAACTCTTCATTGAAATGTTTTTAAACAACTGCCTATTAATATGTATAATTGAGATAAATTAAGCTGTGCTTAATTTTAAATGTCTTATAATAAATTCTAACCCATAACAATGTGGTATGCTCCTTTAACTATCAATGATATAACATCTTAGTCTTATTCAGCTTGAAAATATTTTTCAGGGTTATGTCCATACAGTGGATGCTTCCTCTGAGTTTACTCTTTAATGATTGCTATACAGTCTTCTAAGAAAAGTGTTTATTAATGCATGTAATATGCAAAGAATCAGTTCTATTTTATAAAAATGATGCTTATTTCATCTATATACTTCTGTTACAAGGTAGTGGTGGGTCTACAATTAAAACACTAGTCTATGAAGTAATAAAGAACAGCCTTTGCTTAATGCATATTTGTTACTTATTACTATATTCTTATTAGAAATTGACTCTGAGTTCATTATAGCAGAAGATACAGTCACAGCCATGTATTTCCTCCAGAAGTCATTATGTCATGTTACACATAAGTAAATGAAAGGTAGATCAGCATTGTATATTACAGAATAATTTTTCATCCTTAGAATGAATGTTGATAAATTGTTTTAAGCATAAAATTGAATATAGAGATAGATGTTTAGTACTTTCTAAATTTTGTGTCTAAAATGTCTCTAAAATGTTCATATTAAAAACATCTTTAATAGCCAGTGTATACTTTTGTTGGGGCTCCCCTGGTGGCCCATACAGTAAAGAGTCTGCCTGCAATGCAGGAGACCTGGGTTTAATCCCTGGGTCTGGAAGATCCCCTTGAGAAGGAAATGGCAACCCACTCAAGTATTCTTTCCTGGAAAATTCTATGGACAGAGGAGCCTGTTGGGCTACAGTATACTTTTGTAGTGCAAAAAACTTTATTATACTGTCACTGGTTCTTAGTATGTATGTTTAGTCTTAGATTATATCCTGATGTTTAACCAATAATTTCCTTTATTATTATTATTTTTTTTTAGTTTAGAAAATACAGATTAAAACACAATGATGGGGAGACCATTTTGCTCTCAAAACTAGAGGTTTACTTAAATTATATATCCATACAATCCATAATGCTCAAAATTTTAGGAAACAGGAAGAATAAAAGAAAAAACAGACCCCAGCAAGGGCAGCAAAAGAAATTTATAATTATTGATAAACAGGATGCTATAAGGCATGAGACTCTTGGGACAAGTCCAGAGGAAACAGTTCATAGTCTTGAAAACAAAATATGATCCTGGGGTCCGAAAACCAACACCAGACTGTTTCTCAACTGGCGTCTCAGAGTCACATGTTTTACATATCTGGTGGAAAAATCTATAGAAAAGAATATTAGTCTGAGTTATTGATTTGTTATTGATTACTATTTCTTAGTTGCTCAATGGTTAATGATCACTTTGCTTTTTGGCCCTGAAGGCCACATGAGTTATAGCTTAACACCCCTCATATTCTTTCCTTCATGGCTGAAAGTATAATAAAGCTGGCTTGGATTCAGTCTCGGCACCTTCACATTGGAGCGGTGTTGGTCCCCTGATCCTCTCTTTTCACTGAATTCTTGTGTCTTGTTTCTCATTCTCTCGCCGTATCGTGCTTTCGGAAACCCTGCTTGCCTTTCAAAATTTCTGTTTAATGTTAATTTATCTTACATGTTACTTGGTCTCTTTTTTCTTCTTTCTACATCACATATACGGTAAACTTTTTTGGACCTATACAACTTTATGTATATAAAACATATCTGAGGCAAAGTATAATTCTTCAAATACAAGAATCTCCTGAGATATGTATAATCTTATAAAATTGTGTATTTCCCAAAATTATGAAAGTATAGGGATTTTCAAGATGCATGTTCCAGATAATTTAATGAACTTCATGATCCTTTTTAAGAGTTCAACATTTCTGAACTGTGCAAAATATATTCTTTAATGCCTTCAATCTGAAGATTAAATCTGAACATCTTTCTAAACAGCAACATGGCGTAAGGTATGTGGTTTCAATACATTATGGAAAACCTCAGACCAGTTTTTCTACCTTGGAGTCAGGATCACTAATTTCCTCAAAAGAATTAATTGTCTATGGTTCTTTTCATTATTAAAAATTAAAAATTAAATCTAGAAAATACTTTATATTAATTATAAAATTATTTCTGTACACAAATAAATAAAATAAACTGGTTTTCTGTGTGTGTATATATATACATATATATATATATATGCATAGGTAAATAAAAAATTCTATCTATGCCTAAACAATATGACTATTTGATTTCATAGCAAATTTCAAAGTAGATATGATCACAAATTTCAAAAATTATAAACTGCTGCATATATGCCTTTCACTTAATTTTGTATTGCTACCTTTTAAAAATGTGTTACTAACACATTTAAATTGGCCAGTGTTATTATAGTTACAGTTGTTTTGCTTGCAAACACAATAAGCCCTTTAACTTCAGGACTCGGGAGTTGTCAACTTACTGGATTCAGGATCTGAGTTGCCATCCCCTTCAGTGCGGTTGTTGTTTACAGCATGATCAAAGTACTCCTCCTGAGGATAGCCAAGGGGCAGGGCATGGGATGTGCTGGGAAGGCTGCCTGCATCATGGTCTCCCAGTCCACCATCACTGTTGCTTTCTTGAGAGCCTTCTGGTAGGTGAAATGTGACACGCCGCTGGGACTGAAAGGAAGACAGAATTATAGGGTTTCAGCTATGATCTGATTAATTGCTTAATGCATCCAATTTAGAAAATGTATTATTTTCAGCTATCTAGTGAAGTCATATTATCTTGAGTTGTGAACAATTTCAGGCTTTTGTAAACGGTTCTTTCTGTGTTCAAACCTGCTTCACCTGGAGCAGAGTTGCTTTTATTATATTTTTAAGCAGGGCACATCCAGTTACAGGATAAAAGTCAACTTGTTCTAAAGCTAGAAGCTGTCACCCATGTAGACATTCAAGCACATTGGAATTCTGATAATCATTTGAACATGGATTTATTTAACTATAATTTGACAAGATTTCATTTTTTGAACAATAAGCCTGAATAAATATAACAAAAGGTTATTGCTATATCTATAAGATTCTGTCTGGCTGAGACAGTAAATAATAATACAAATTTATTCAATCATGTAGACTTACAAATTAAAATTACAAGCCATCTTTTCAAAGAGTCTTAGGGGAAATATTTTGATTTGGGATTTATTTAAATTGATTCTATACTCTAAAAATAAAACTAATTAGATGGTATGGATAACAGGTGATAATTATAGAAGCAAACTATAGGTGTCATCTCTGATGGTAAATATAGCAGAACATTAAAAACATACACATGACAACAATACAGGTGAAGCATTTGAAGCATTTGATTCATGATATCCAGTAGTGTGATAACTTCACTAGCTGTAGCAGTGATTTTGTTTGCAGCATTGCTATATGTAGTAATTACTCTCCAAAATAGCCCTGACAATAAACCTCACCTCTTGGCATTCAAATCCTTATGGAGTCCTCTACCACAATGAATATGGATAAATCCTGTGTAACCAAACCTTGTAGCTTGTGCCTTGCTCCCGCAGAATACTCATTCAAGAAAATCAGCTGAATTGAAAGAAGTATGACTAATGGGAGGCTGCCATACCATGAGGAAGTTCAAACTGCCCATGTGAAAAGAAAGGTAACAAATACAATAACCAGAAAGACAAAAACTGCTCCAGCCACTCAAGTTCAGGTGCCAAATATATATATGAAGAATCCATTCTGGGCATTTAGTTTAAGGCCTCATTTGAACCATCCATCCCAGCCATCTCCAGATATTTGAGCCACATGTTTGAGATATCAGTCATTGTGAAGCAGAGATAGCAATCTCTGTTGTGTACCACCTAAATTCCTGACCTAAAAAATGTCAAGTACAACTGGTTTTTGTTTTATGCTCTAAAGATCAGGGACAGTTTGTTATGTAACAATAGATTAACCAAAAGATTTAATTACTAGTAGCATGACAGATCCAATTTAGAGATAATTATTTAAGAAATTTATGCATCTCAAAGGGTACATGTAATCAGGTACTAGGAATTTCCATGAAAGAATGCATATACTGTCACAAGTCCAGGCTTGATAGTCAGCCATTTCTTCAGAGGCTGATATTGCCATAGACTGTATGCTTGTGTCCTCTCAAAATTCATATGTTAAAAACTAATAATAAAAACTAATAATGGCACTTGGAGGTGGGATCTTTACAAAGTGATTAGGTTACGAGGGTGAAGCCCTCATTAATGGGATTAGTGTCCTTATAAAGCCAGCCCTAGATACCTCTCTCTCCCCTTCTTCCATATGAGGACACAGTGAGCTAATTTTGTCAGTCCAGCAAAGCTGCATTTGACTATTCTCTAAGAAGCCATAAGCTCATTTAGTTATAGATTAAACTTCATTTAATTCTAAAAATTATTTATAGTTGTTAACATATTTTCAGTTACTTCAAGTAAAATATTACAATTTATGCTTATAAACCTTTTTAAAAAGGCAAGACCTGGAAAAACAGGATTTTAAAAAGCTTGCAACTTTATACTGTAGATATTTATCTACAAATAGTTATTGTATATAATTGAATGTCAAAATAATACTTAAGACATAAATTAAAAAGTCACTGTGTATAAAATAAGCCAGTTTAGCATGAGACTAATTCACAGTTGGTGGTGCTAGTGGTAAAGAACCCACCTCCCAATGCAGGAGATGAAAGAAACATGGGTTTGATCTCTGGGTCAGGAAGATTCCCTGGAAGAAGGCATGGCAACCCACCCCAGTATTCTTGCCTAGAGAATCCAATGGACTGAGGAGCTTGGTGGTGATTACAGTCCATAGGGTCTCAAAGAGTCGGACACAACTGAATCACTAAATACACATGCATCACCATAATTCATAACTGTTAAAAGAGATATTTCAATTTTCTGTTAAGACCAAGCCATATATTTCAAGTATGTCTTATATTTCAAGTTCAGCATTTAACTTTTTAAAAGCATTAGACCTAGAAAATAGAATTTATAAAGGAAAATAATTACTGCTGACAAACATAAATGAATCTAGAGTTTTAACATGTGTTAGTTAAGCATGGAGTCATATTGTTTAGTCACTAAGTTGTGTCCAACTCTTGTAAAACCAGTACTGTAGCCCACCAGGTTTCTCTGTCCATGGAATTTACAAGGCAAGAATACAGAGTGGGTTGCCATTTCCTTCTCCAGGAGATCTTCCTGACCCAGGGAATGAATTCAAGTCTCCTGCATTGGTAGTTGGATTATTTATCACTGAGCCATCAGGGAAGCCCATGGAGTCATATACCCTAACAGAATTAAAAATGTGTCAGCTACAAATTGGCACTTCCTGTCAACTACAAGAGCATGTGTCAGAAAATGAACAACCACCACAAGGGCATTTGCCATCTGCTTAAACGGAGATTGAGCCTGTGCTGCTTCAGCTGTTGACCTTCAATACCCCCTGGGAGAATTCAGGGTGTAGAGTGAGGCACTCTGTGCTCCAAGGAATCTGGTGGAACAGGTCTTTAGGTAATTACATATTTTCAGGTATTTATTTTATAATCCCAATCCGTGTTGTTGTTGTTGCTGTTGAGTCGTTCAGTCATGGCTGACTCTTTACAACCCCATGGACTGCAGCATGCCAGGCTTCCCTGTCCTTCAACATGTCCTGAAGCTTGCTCAAACTCATGTCCTTTGAGTTGGTGATGCCATCCAACCATCTCATCCTCTGTCATCCCTGTCTCCTCTGCCTTCAATCTTTCCCGGCATCAGGGTATTTTCTAATGAGTTGGCTCTTTGCATCAGATGGCCAATGTATTGGAGCTTCATCTCAGCATCAGTCCTTCCAATGAATATTCAGGACTGATTTCCTTTAGAATTGACTGATTTGATCTCTTTGCAGTCCAAGGGACTCTCAAGAGGCTTCTCCAACACCACAATGAAAAAGCATCAATTCTTCACTGCTTTATGGTCCAACTTTGAAATCCATACACGACTCCTGGAAAAAACATAGGTTTGACTAAACAGACATTTGTCAATAAAGTAATGTGTCTGTTTTTTTTTAATATGCTGTCTAAGTTTGTCATAGCTTTCCTTTCAAGGAGCAAGTGTCTTCTAATTTCATTGCTGCCATCACCATCTGCAGTGATTTTGGAGCCCAAGAAAAGGAATCCTGTCACTGTTTCCATTGTTTCTCCATCTATTTGCCATGAAATAATGGGACCAGATGCCACGATCTTCATTTGTTGAATACTGAGATTTAAGCCAACTTTTTCATTCTCCTCTTTCACCTTCACCAGGAGGATTTTTAGTTCCTCTTCACTTTCTGCCGTAAGGATGGTGTCATCTGCATATCTGAGGTTATTGATATTTCTCCCAGCAATCTTGATTCCAGCTTGTGCTTCATCCAGCCCACCAGTTCTCATGATGTACCCTGCATATAAGTTAAATAAGCAGAGTCACAATATACAGCCTTGACGTACTCCTTTCCCAATTTTGAATCAGTAGGTTGTTCCATGTTGCTTCTTGACCTGCAAATAGGTTTCACAGTAGGCAGGTAGGGTGGTCTGGTTTTTCCATTACTGTAAGAATTTTCCACAGTTTGTTGTGATCCAAATAGCGAGGTCAAGAAGCAACAGTTAGAACTGGACATGGAATAACAGACTGGTTCCAAATTGGGAAAGGAGTACATCAAGTCTGCATATTGTCACCCTGCTTATTTAACTTATATGCAGAGTACATCAAGTGAAATGCTAGGCTGGATGAAGCACTAGCTGGAATCAAGATTGCTGGGAGAAATATCAATAACCTCAGATATCCAGATGACACCACCCTTATGGCAGAAAGTGAAGAGGAACTAAAAAGCCTCTTGATGAAGGTGAAAGAGGAGAATGAAAAAGCTGTCTTAAATCTCAACATTCAACAAATGAAGTTCATGGCAGGTAGCCCCATCACTTCATGGCAAATAGATGGGGAAACAATGGAAACAGTGACAGACTATTTTGGGGGCTCCAAAATCACTGCAGATGGTGACGGCAGCCATGAAATTAAAAGATGTTTGCTCCCTGGAAGAAGAGCTATGACAAACCTAGACGGCATATTAAAAAGCAAAGACATTACTTTGCCAACAGAGGTCTGTCTAGTCAAGGCTATGGTTTTTCCAGTAGTCATGTATGGATGTGAGAGTTGGACTATAAAGAAAGCTGAGTGCTGAAGAATTGATGCTTTTGAACTGTGGTGTTGGAAGAGACTCTTGACAGTCCCTTGACCTGTAAGAAGATGCAATTAGTCAATCCTAAAAGAAATCAGTTCTGGTATTCATTGGAAGGACTGATGCTGAAGCTGAAACTCCAACATTTTGGCCACCTGATGTGAATAACTGACTCACTAGAAAAGACCCTGATGCTGGGAAAGTTTGAAGGAGGGAGGAGAAGGGGACGACAGAGGATGAGATTGTTGGATGGCATCACTGACTCAATGGACATGAGTTTGAGTATGGTCTGGGAGTTGGTGATGGACAGGGAAGCCTGGTGTGCTGCAGTCCATGGCGTCTCAAAGAGTCGGACACGACTGACTGACAACTCCAACTCCAACATGGTCAAAGGCTTTAGTGAAGTCAATGAAGCAGAAGTAGATGTTTCTCCCAATCCTTGCATC